TTTTTGGAGGCTTGTTTCAAAGACATGTCCCAAAGTCTAATGAAGGTCTTTGTGAGTGCGTGTCTCACCCTTTCCAAATGAATGCCCCTTGGTACTCTTTAAATAGCCTAAGTCTGTTTTTTTTTTCTCAGATACAATGCTGAAGAACACCCAATTTATGAATGAGAGCTCTGCAAACAGGCCACAGCAAGTTTTATGTCCACCAAAAAAAAAAAAAAAAAAATCAATCAATCAATCTATCATGTTGCATAAAAAATAAGACTACAGAGAACTTATTATATATATCTTTTATATATAAAACATTATTATTTTATAATCTTTTATTTTTTATATAATATATAACCAATAATTGGAATAAATAAAAACGTTTAACATTTTGTAAAGTTTCTTAAAGGGATAGTTCACCCAAAATTTTTTATTCTGCTGTTCCAAACCTGTATGAGTTTCTTTAGTTTCTTTTATTTATTTTTTATTAACAGTTGGTGACAGCCATTGACTTCCATCATATGAGAAAAATACTGTGGAAGTCAATGGCTACCAGCAACTGTTTGATTACCAACATTCTTCAAAATATCTTCTTTTGTGTTCAAAAAGAAAGAAACTCATACAGGTTTGGCAAAACTTGAGGAAATGATAACAGAATTGACATTTTTTTGCGTGAACCATCTCTTTAAGAACCTCTGAAACGTTAAAATTTTTTATTTATTCCAATTTTTGGTTCTAAGGCGGGTAAATGATAACAGATTTTAAATTTTTAGTTGAACTGTCCCTTTAAGCTCATCAAAGCTGCTATATATATGTATATATATAATAAGTATTATGACCGGAGTAGCAGTGTTCCAAATTCATTTGAGTTGGATCTTTTCAGTGACTCATAAAATTCATAAGTTCATAAAATCAGTTTGAATGATTAGTTCACAATCCAGTTCATAAATTCAACTCACTGATTCGGTTTTTGAGTTAACAGCTCACATTTCGGAAGATGATCAATCAGAACGTTTACATGGACAACAATACTCTGATTTTAATACGATTAAGACAATACTCTGATTAAGAATCTACCATGTAAATAGAGATTTTTGATTACCTTAATCCGGCTAAAGTCATAATCGAAGTAAACACTAGTCGAATTAAGACATGTGGAGTATTCCTATTTTAGTCGCATTACTGAAGTGCAGTAAAGACATGTAAACCCCTTAATCACATTATTACCGTCGTGTAGAATTTTGCGACAGGATAGACACACGGCAGTGTTCAACCGTTTGACGGCAAATAAAAGAATGGCTTCAACAACACCGTCATCTGTTTGCATGTATAGCATGACAAATAACTAACTGCACTTGAAGCTTTCAGTAAATTAAAAATGAAACACCCAAAACTGTATATGGCATCATAACTAAGACGAACTATGTGTTTACACGTGCAACTCCAGAGGGGACGTCGGATGGCGTCGTGTGCTGACGTAATGACGTGTGCCATTAATCAAACTATGTACTATAACATGTAAAACGGGAACATACAGTAAAAGGAATATTCTAAAATCAACTCATGTAAACACCTTAATCATAATATTGTCTTATTTAGAATAAGGTAAATAATTAGATTACTGATGTCCATGTAAACATAGTCAGTGAGAAACAACTTTACGTTTACATTTCTCACACAGCTATCGAGGGACTTCAAAACTCATGATTCTTTTTATTTTGACAGCCTGATTCACTTTTATTATATGAAATGGTCATTTTCATTTTTATGTACATTATTGCTTTAAAGAACCCAATTCCACACTGAAATGAAGTTGAAGCTGCTGTAGAGAGACAGAAAAGCGCATTCGAGCACATACAACCATTGTGCCGGGGTCACATCTTCTATGCTTGTCTTTAGCATTCACCAGTAGGACAGATGGTCATCACATGGCAACCATCCCACCTCTGACAATACAGCTTGTCTGTCATTCGGTAGTCAAGGCTACAGTTACAAAAGCAAAACGGCTTGTCAAACCTCTCTCAATACGAGTACTCGATATACCTCCACACTCGATTATACTGCAACCAACAGCAGAAGCAATATCAAATAATGAATTCTTTCAACTTTTTAGAGCTCCCAAATAAAAATAACCAAGGTGGATATTATTAACCAAAGATGCCTGTTTGGTCCGAAGCACAGACAATTATTTGATACAGGATCGGTGGATATTTATAAAGCAAGGCCGAGAGCTTTTCTCATTCGCTCAGATCCATTACAGCCAAGTGCATCGGCCTCATCGGAGGCACCAGCCAGGGGTTTTTAGCATGAGATAGGATTCTTGAAAGCATCTATTTTAGTTCATGGATGTATGCCGTTATCAGCGGCCAGGACATTTTGTGTGGTTCTCTAGGCCAGTCCGGCGCCCGTCAAAATACGTCTGGCTTTGGTTTTTACAAGACACAGAGGCTACATTAATGCAATTACAGCATGTGCATGTGTGTATATACAGTACACTGACCTCTGAACATTTCAGCGTTGCAAAAAAATCTCTTCTATTGTTTGAGAGCGTTCAGAGAGCTGACACATGTCTGCTCACGGCAGACATAAAAACTGGCTATTTTTCACTTTGTGCCGAGGAAGATTTCTTCACATTAGGTGGCATGAGTAATACCACCAACGTAGCAGTGTTCGCTAATTACTTCACTTGTGTTTGGTTTGGCTTGTTGTCAAACATTAGATTCGCACTTGCGAAACGACAATAGTCGTTAACAACAAGTCTTTAACCTGTGCTAAACAGATGTAGAGAAGCAAAACATTAATTTATGACTGAACATTTTATATGTGTTGCAGAGTTTGTAGCCATTTCAGGGACATGTCCGGTCTGCCAAGGTAGACACGGACTGACGTTTCGTTATTTATCAGAAGCATCTTCTTGACCAGTGGATATCAAAACAGCCCACAGGTGATCCTGCTGTCAGAAATGATTTTGACAGCTTTATCAGTAAGAGTAAATTAGCATCAAAGATGATGATCAATTAAATTTCAAAAATAATATACATAACTAAAAATAAATGAATAACTATAAAAACAAACAAACAGTGATATCTTGAGGATTAAGCATACAAAGTCATTTTCCTTTTTTTCCCTCAGATTTGGAATTAATTAAATAAGCAGTCAGTCCAAATACTGCCGTTTTGTCCTTCAATTCTTCGCATGTCTGCTTAACACTGGGTGTCTTGTTACGTAACACTGAAGGTTTGAAATCATAATGCGATTCTTCTCGCTGTACGAGCTGTGTGCTGCATCTTCTGCCAAGCAACTGAAAATCTCTCACGAGTTCAGTGCTCTGGTGAAGAGAGAGAATGAAGGACATACTGAGACTGCAGTGCAGAGTATCACAAACTACAGCTGATAATAATTTTGTGAGCTTTTCAAAATGTCACTAACATTTTACATTATGATTATATAACATCAGCTGAGCAATGATATGTGGTGTAATGGTTTACTGTAGGCTGACAAACAAAATGTTGCTCTAGCGGTCCAGTGATACATGCTCATAATTAATAATGCTGATATTTTTATAATTTAGATGTCTATACACTACCGTTCAACAGTTTGGGGTCGATAAGACTTTTCAAATGTTTTTGGAAGCTGCATTTATTTGACCAAAAAACAGTAAAAACAGTAATATTGTTATAGAACCATTTTCTATTTTAATTTAATTTAAAATGCAATTTATTCATGTGATGCAAAGCTGAATTTTTCGCATCATTACTACAGTTGTCAGTGTCACATGATCCTTCAGAAATCATTCTAATGTCCTGATTTGTTGCTCGAGAAACATTTCTTATCATAATCAATATTCAAAATAGTGCTACTTAATATTTTTGTGGAAACGGTGATTATTTATTTTTCAGATTCTTTGCTCAATGGATAGTTCAAAGGCATTGATTTGAAATAGAAATGTTTATTTATGAGGTTTAGCAACTGACATAATTTGTGTTTTATCCACTATCCAATGAGCTGTTTGAGGACTTTTGGAACACAAAGGATAGTTAATACTTCTATTAGCTTGCTAGATTGTAAGCAATACACATTAATAAAGTGCACACTGTGTAATTGCTGGGACAAGCAGGCCGCTAGTGGTACTGCATCAACAAACACCTTCAAACGGCTGCCGCGATTCCATTCACCCCTATGGTGGCTCCATTCACATGTTTTCCAAACACAAGCTAATTCCCGAGGGTTCAAGTGCTGCTGCCTCAGCAATTACAGCCTGTACCTTTAATTAGCTTTCTGCGTATTGTACAAGCAAAGCAAAGCAGAATGTCGCACACAGATGCTTGTAAACATACAACTCTCACATAAGAGAGGGAAACCTTCTCATGTTACAAACGCCCTCTTGCCTTTTCGGTCCTGTGGCTCTTTGCCTCCTCATCCAGAGAGCAAAGCGCGAGCCATGCTGCGCTGTCACAGGGCGGCAATCCAGCAGGAAGTGTTGGCGGTGATATCAAAAGCGACAGGAAAATGAGCTGTAGTGCATCATGTGCAGACTGCAGGCGCGAGCTGTACTGATCACTAAAGGAAGTCTGTTAGACAGGACCCAGAGAAACATCACAAATATCTGAGGGCCGTCGTAATGAGGGCATTCCAGCAGAAAAGAGCAGGAATTTAATCTTGCCAGTCCTGCTACATCATCTTCATGCTGAACAGGGATAGCATTTTCCTGCTATCGGGAATAGAGTCAGGATAGGAAGGAATGTGAAGGTGCTTTTGAAGTGGTTGTAAAGTCAATTTATAGGTAAATCTTTCATAGATAAGGTAATCGAAATGGTTAAGCCATATAAGTTTGATCAGAAATACACTCAAAAGACCAAATGTTGTGTTGTGGATGCTGAACTTCAGAATGGGATGCTGTTGTATCCAAACCAGGAAATTCATGCTGGTTTTTCATTTGTAATTTTGCTGGGAGAAAAACGGTTTTGCCTTCAAGTGGTCCCACTTTAACACGTCACTTTCTGTCTCCCCTGCAGGTTCTACTGGGACTTGATAATGCTCATCATGATGATGGGGAATCTAATTATCATTCCTGTGGGAATTACCTTCTTTTCCGAGCAAACCACCACCAGCTGGCTCATCTTCAACGTGGCCTCGGACACCATCTTCCTGGTGGACCTGGTCATGAACTTCCGAACGGGAATTGTGAACGAGGAGAGCTCAGAGATCATCCTGGACCCAAAGGTCATTAAGATGAACTACCTGAAGAGTTGGTTCGTGGTAGACTTCCTGTCCTCCATCCCGGTGGATTATATCTTTCTAATAGTGGAGAAAGGCTTCGATTCGGAGGTCTACAAGACGGCCCGAGCGCTGCGTATCGTACGCTTCACCAAAATCCTCAGCTTGCTCCGTCTTCTCAGGCTTTCACGCCTCATCAGATACATCCACCAGTGGGAGGAGGTGAGGGGACAGCGTGTGTATGAGTGTGTGAGTGAACGAGCTATGACGCAGATGGCCTTTAGTAACATGTCTTGGATTTGCTAGCTTCCAATATGAACAAGAAGAGATGTTAGTTGACGTTGTGCGCGTTTAGGTGTGTGTGCATGTGTTTGACGCAATCAACCCAAGGTTCTTTGATCTCAGGTGTTGTTCTGCAGCACGCACCCCCCTCCGAGACCTCTGACGCACACTCTTTAGAGGTGGAGATACTTATTTGGGGGTTAAGATAAGCATATCTGCCACTTAGCCCTCGGCGACACCTCAAGAGCCGCATTGGGGAGCGAGAGCTGGAAGAGGAACTGACCTCTTCAACGCTGCGAGAGCAGTTGAGCAAAACTATTAAATGCCTCGGCATTCATGCTAGAGCACTTCACTCCCACCTCTGTCTGAGACACCCTAAGCTAAAATACAAAGCATTAATCTTCACATGACGCATATGGTTTGCAAGCCCTCCCCAACTGGCTGGTTTCACAAGAGCATTGTTGCACTTTAAGGTCACTTTAATCAGAAAAGCCCTGCATGTTTCTGCTTCTCACCTGCTATTATCCCTAGCAAAGTTAACCCAACTCAGACAACCTTTTCTCGCCGTGCTTGATAAAAAAAAGATATGGTTCGCTGATCTATCCAAGGTAAAAATGCAACATCAGTGGTGCCGAGGAGGTTTGAAAGCTGGAGAAGTAATTCGAGATCGCTCTTTGTTTTGGTGCCCTGCAGGTTATTAAACTCTTAAAGCCAGTTCGTCTTCCTCTTCAGCTGGCAGACACCCAAGTCTGGACCGGTAGAGAGCAGAGTCGACGCTTTCTGATCTTACCTAATTGAAATACAGATGTACCTCTCAGGAAGAGTAAAACAAACTGACAGTAATCACGGCTGATTCATTACTATTGTTTTCTGCTGCAATCTACCATTGGATTAGTTAAGACAGGGACTCCATTAACATTTTTCTTTACGCTTGTGCAGAGAGAAAACAAAGACATTGCCAAAAACACCTAGTGCTAAAAACGCAGCCCAGAATTCACCATCATGATGCTAAGGTGTTGTGTGTGATTTCCAAACTGTTGCTATGTGGTTTCTAGCATGATTTGGGTGGTTACTTAATAGTCCGATTTAAAATAGCCCACTGAAGTCAATGTAAATCTAGGTGATTTCCTACGCAGTCACATTGTAAAAACATGACATTGGCGACATTTCTGCAAAATTATTATACGTTGATTCTTGCATGTTTTTTCAACACTTTCAAAGCGCAATGTCCACATTGTCCAGTGGGACTAAAAGCATTCATTTTTTTCCGAAATATATTAACTTGAATCTGGCAACATTTTATTACATTGCCTGCACATACAGTGGTAGTTTGGAAATGAAATATCCAGTGAGAGACGCTAAAAGGTTAAAGGGTTAGTTCACCCAAAAATGAAAATTAGCCCATAAATTACTCACCCTCAAGTCATCCTAGGTGTATATGACTTTCTTCTTTTAGATGAATCCAATCGGAGGTATATTAAAAATTGTCTTTGATCTTTCGAGCTGTTTCATGGCACTCAGCGGGTGTTGCATGCATCAGTCCAAAAGAAGTTAAATAAAAAGTGCCCATCCATAAAAAAAGTGTCTTACACGGCTCCGGGGGTGAACAAAGGCCTCCTGTAGCGAATCAATGCATTTTTGTAAGAAAAATATCCATATTCAAAACGTAATAACCACTTTAATGTAGCTTGCGCTCACTGTTGTACACGGAAGCAGTTCCGGGTGGATGACGTATGAGGTCGGCTTTGCGCATGCACCGCTCAGAAGTGATGCACGCGGAAGCGAAGGGGAGCGATCAAAACAAAACAAAGGTCACTTATTAGAAGTACAAAATGAGGATTTGTAAAGAAGAATGTCGGAGGATTTCGATATAAGCCAAGAGGAAACTTTGCTTCCTTTGCTCCTGTTAACAAACATTGGTTTTCACGAGACTCACCAGCGCATGCGCAGCGCTGACCTCATACCTCATCCGCTCGGAACTGCTTCCATGTACAACTGTTGGCACAAGCTACATTAAAGTGATTATTACGTTTTGAATATGGATATTTTTCTTACAAAAATGCATCGATTCACTACAGAAGGCCTTTGTTCACCCCTGGAGCCGTGTGAGGCACTTTTTTTTTGTTTTATGGATGGGCGCTTTTTATTTAACTTCTTTTGGACTGATGCATGTAACACCCGCTGAGTGCCATGGAACAGCTTGAAAGATCAAAGACCATTTTTAATATAACTCCGAGTGGATTCGTCTGAAAGAAGAAAGTGTCGCGACTTGCTTCACAGGACTCGGGAGCTTTACTAACACTGTAATACTAGGTGAACTAACAAGCAAGTTTACCACAAAAGCCTTACATATGGAGCTAGTGATGTGACGCCACTGTCAAAATGTGTTCGTTTACAAATCATGCACCATGGTAACAGTTTTGAGGTGTCAACATAGTATTGTGCAAGGAACCGTGCAAAACATGTCTTTATTAATCAAAAATCTCACTGTAATTCTAATCATAATACAACCTAGGCTACTTAAAAACATGCCTCTACCTCCATTTAAAAATAAATTAATCTAAATGTAGATAGAGGCATGTCTAAATGCTAATGGTTTGGGGCGAGAAACATGCAAAAGCTTAGGGTTAAGTGTGTGTTTGAACCTTTAACCCTAAAAATGACCTAATTATGACCAAATAATGCAGTAAAAGGAATAAATGTTGATGATGTTTTAAAGCCACTAGTATTCATTTCAGTTGTAAAATTCTGCCAATTCCATGTATAGGTCCATTTTCTTTTGTTTTTAAATGTAGGTAGAGGCATGTTTTTCTTAGTAGCCCAGGTTGTATTTTTATGTCTTTTTTAATATCTACCATGCAAAATGATAAGTCAGATGGCTTAGAATATTAATAGCACATCTCTTCTCAAAAAGCCATGAGGTGTCATTCACATCTAAATGCTAATGTTTTGGGGCGAGAAACATGAAAAATGTAGGGTTAAGTTTGTGTTTGAACCTTTAACCCTAAATATGACCTAACAATGACCAAATAATGCAGTAAAATGTACATTTTAAAGTAGTAATCCAGAACCACAGGCTAAAACGGGCCAGAAGCTTTACTAAGCACTTATTTACGGTATCCCCGGAAGCATCCGCATTATACACACCATTTACCCTCTCTCATGCTGCACTGATGCATTCTGGGAACTCACTGTCAGCCCTATCTCTCCCTGTCTTCCTTTCTGACCTCTCATTGCCATGCTGATTCTTTATTGCAAAGCAATATATATAAAAAAAACAAGGTGCTACTTGCATATTTATATCTATACATATTGCATGATAAATGCATTACTGCATATTTCCACACTGTGTTTGTGTTTATTCCCGACCTCGGGTTGTGCTCCTGGCACATGCTGTGATTCCAGGGTTCGCTATCTCTGTCCAAATCCTGCCGTGAGCAGGTCTGTGTGCTATATACCGCAGTGTGTACGCCTCTGTGGATTAACCGCCATGTTGAATGAAGTCACGGTACCCTGATCCGCTCAAACACAGCTGTGGCGTGAGTTAGCGCGTGGATCACGATGCCGCAGTGTGATATGGTGCAGAGTCTAAATGGGCTTTAATTAAACCTGGAGTGTGAATCAAGAGGTCGACGCAGAGCAGACGTTATGTTCGGTAGAGCTCGAAGGGTTTACAGAAAATGTGGTTATATTGGGTTGCTCATGCACATGCAATCTCGCATTTGTTTCTTATACATATGCTGTATGCACATGCATATCTCTTTCCTTTCTCCATATCTCGGACTAATTTCCTTACCTACTCCTTCTTCTTTGCATTATCTAGAATTGCTTCTTTTTGTTTTCACTTAACCCCTCGTTCTCTCTCTGTTTCTCCTGATGAGACACCTAAATCGAGGGGGAGGGGAGGTGGAATAGTGCACACAATATGCTACAAAGAAGGTTTTCTATATTATTTTTGTGTAAATGGTTTGTAAATCTATTAATGTTTGCATTGAACTGAATGTGGCCATTTACATAACAATGGTTTCACGTACAATTCATTCTGCTCGTGTTTCATGAATTAGGTCTATTGACCAGAATTTCTTGCATTCCTTGCTATAATTATTCAGCACTGCAGAACTGTGTTCACAAGGATCTTTCTGTTTTGATTTATAATAGTGATAGATAGACCAATATGTCACATCAGATCTTTTAAATTCTTATTTTTGTAAAAACATTACAGTTTAAAGGTTTGGAGTTAGTAAGATTTTTTTAAATGTTGTCTCTTATGCTCACCAAGGCTGCATTTATTTGATCATTTGATCAGTAAAATAGTGAAATATTATTACAATTCAAAATAACAGTTTTCTATATGAATATACTTTAAAATGTAATTTATTCCTGTGATGCAAAGCGAAATTTTCAGCATCATTACTCCAGTCTTCAGTGTCACATGATCCTTCAGAAATCATTCTAATATTCTGATCTGCTGCTCAAGACACTTTTCTTATTATTATCACTGTTAAAAACAGTTGTGCTACTTAATATTTTAGTAAATACATTCTTTAAAGAAACAAAGATTAAAAGAACAGCATTTATTTAAAGTATAAATCTGTTGTAACATTTTCAAATGTCTTTACTGTGATTTAAAATCACTTTATTGTGTCCTTGCTAAATACAAGCTTTAATTTCTTAATATTACTGACCTCAAACTGTTGAATGGTAGTGTATTATAATGGCATTGTTTTAATACAACAGTTACATAAACAAGAAGTAGTGGCTGAAACTAATTCACAACCATTAGGAATCTCCTCAAAGGCTATCAGCTGACACGGGTAATGCAACCACTGAGACAAAATGACATGTTATAGAAGCTCCTCTTTTCTCTTCAAGGGGATCATCATTCTTGCTTTATATTCTGTCTCTGAAATGCTCTTAAAAGCTTATCTTATGCTATTTGG